CTTTTATAAGACATGAGATAAACAGGGCAACTGTGACCGGTTGCTTGCCAAATAGTGAGCCCACATTTATCTGAACTGCTAAGCCTGATATTGGCTACCTCGTCTTCTTCATCAGCAAGATTCCTTGGTATCTGTTGTTCACTGAGTTGATTCTCGCTAAGTAGCCAATATAAGGCTAACGGCCCGTCCACACACAGGCATGAAAAAAATCTTTCAAAGCTTCGCCCATTCACTTGAATGGGGTGACGTAGAAGATTTTTAATCTTCGCCGAACTGCATTGTGGGGAGCGGAGCATGGCTTTGCAAGCATCGTGAGCATCAAAAGTTGAGCAATGCTCAACTTTTGATGCTCCCAATGCTTGCGAAGCTGGCATCAGCCAATCAAATCCCGTTTATGCAAATCCCGTCAGTGCAAGCGCTAGCCAATCAAACCGCGTGTACTGTATGCCGATACCGCTGCAGTCTTTTCCATATTTCATAAAATGGAGGATAAATTAATCATCGCTTTAGGAAATGTCCCGGTCCTTTACGACTGCTCTCTGTTCACCTACCGGGACCTAAACCGGAGGAACAAGGCATGGAGGGAGGTGGCAGAGACAGTTGGTGAAACTGGTAGGTTTTCACCTGTTTGGGGAGTTTATATCCAGTTTACTTCGTTTTAACATTGAATGGACAGGCTTTGTATGCCGGGGGCGGGCGGGAGATTCCTGGGAGATTCCTGATTGGTTGTTGGTCGCCTCGGGCGCGTGAAATCGCCAAGCTTCAGACACGCCCAGCATCAAGATTTTTCAAGATTTTTTTCATGCCTGTGTGTGGACGGGCTGTAACCCTAACCCTTAACATTACCCTTACCCTAACCCTAACCAAGTCTTCACCCTAAAATTAATGATTCCCCTCATGGGGACCTCCATTTTGTCCCCATAAGGGAGGCGGGTCCCCACACGTGACTGTGTAAACAGATTTAGGTCCCCACAAGTATAGTAATGCTAGGCCACACCTACCCACACACACACACACACGCACACACACACACGCACACGCACACACACGCACACGCACACACTTACAATCTCACTCCCCTATAGTGATTTGCCTTGGTGAGCTCTCTTCATCATCTCAGTTCCACATCCTTTCACGCCCCCAGGGAATATTTCCACTATGAACAGGTTTCCATTTTCACCTTTCCCTTCAATGGGCACGTGTGTTAGCATGCCTTCTGTGCACACACACACACACACACACACACACACACACACACACACACACACACACACCACACACAAACATACACACATAATTACATAAACGACAACTTGTTTATTAGGTCACTGCACCAATTCAGATTGCACACAAGGAATGAAAGTCTTTTGATTGGACAATACGAGCCAATTCTGCTTGTCTCATTTGCTAGTTACTGTATTGTTCTGAGTATTCATTTCCACAAATGTTCCATACCCAGTTTTTATTTGAAAGCTTACCCATATTCAGTATGTCATCCTCTGCACACACTATTCCACTCAGTCTTTCTCCCTCTCATTTTTCCAGCTTTGGGAGAGATCAAGGCATTTTTTCAGTGTGTGGGTGGGTCAGAGTGTCAGGCCACACAGCAGTTGCAGACATTGTGGCTCTCTGTGTCTCTGAAATACAATAGGAGGAGTACAATCATTCGAAATAAATGTGTTTTTCAGTGTGAGGTGTGATTACCGCGGTTCTTTCTTTTTAAGGTACAGCTGGACAATTCCCTATTGATAACATTGATTTTGTACCTGCCCTGTCTTGCTGAGATGTGTCACTTCAAATTGGCCTCATGTTAGTAAGAAAACAAATAAAGACATACCTGAACTGAACTGGAGGAACATGTTCATGCCTGTGTGTGTATACATGTGTTAAAAGATAATGACAGATTCACCACGGACCAAAGTGTCTCTCTGGATGACCACTCAGTCATACTGTAATGTGAGTTTGTTATGCCAGAGCCAATTATGGTGACAGCTGAATCTCTCTTTTGCCAATCAGAGCTATTGACCTGAGATGGCCCAACAGTGTGGCTTTCTCTTTGGTTAGTGGAAAAGTTAACTGCTGATTGTGATTGACCTTTTTTTATCACCGGTAGATGTAACTAATGATTCTGTCGTTTCTTCTTATCTCTAAAATTAGCTTTTTTGCACTCAACTTTTTCTTCCACTCACCCTCCATCACTTCATCATTCTTTCTCTGATTCAACCTTTGTTTCCTGCCTCCATTTTATATAATTGTTCTGATTGATTCTCCTCACTGTTTGCCCTCTACTTTACTGTCCCCAGGGAAGCCATGCATCGCCGTCACACCACTCTGAGAGAAAAGGGGCGTCGCCAGGCCGTGCGGGGTCCGGCTTACATGTTCAATGAACGAGGCTCGGCCCTCACCGCAGAGGAGGAGCGTTTTCTGGATGCTGCTGAATATGGAAACATTCCTGTGGTCCGCAAAATGCTGGAAGAGTCCAAAACCCTTAACTTCAATTGTGTCGACTACATGGGCCAGAATGCTTTGCAGCTCGCAGTGGGCAATGAGCATCTAGAAGTGACTGAGCTGCTTCTGAAGAAGAACGGTTTGGCCCGAATCGGGGATGGCCTGCTTTTGGCTATCTCCAAAGGTTACGTTCGAATTGTTGAAGCTATTCTTGCCCACCCTGCTTTTGGCGGAGGTATCCGACTTGCTCTGAGTCCTGTGGAGCAGGAGATGCGTGATGACGACTTTTATGCTTATGACGAGGATGGGACGCGTTTTTCACACGACGTCACACCCGTCATCCTCGCTGCTCACTGCCAGGAGTACGAGATCGTCCACATCCTTTTGACGAAGGGGGCCCGCATAGAAAGGCCTCATGACTACTTCTGTAAGTGTTTAGAATGCGAGGAGAAGCAGAAGATAGACTCGTTCAGTCACTCACGCTCCAGGATGAATGCGTATAAGGGCCTGGCCAGTGCAGCGTACCTGTCGCTCAGCAGTGAAGACCCTGTGCTCACCGCCCTGGAGCTCAGCAACGAACTGGCAAGGCTGGCCAACATCGAGACAGAGTTTAAGGTAAGGAGGTTTTCATTTGAATCTTTTAGTTTAGCCATTTATTACTTTTTCATTTAGAGAATATAGAATGATAAAACAGCTATAATGTAAATCTATGTTTAAAGTTGTTGCACTCTTTTGTCTATTTTTTCTTTACTTTTTCATGAGGTTCAGGCAGAAAAGCGCAGAATAGAGATTGTTTGATCTTTCTCAGACAATGCTTTTACCTATTGCTTGTGTGCGTGCGTGTAAAAAAAGTTAACTAATTTGTGTTAAAGTAAATAATGTTTTTGGAGTGGTTAGATCTAAGGGCTTTACGACATTCCTTATTGCAGGCCTTCACACACTATTGGTGTAACTGAAGCTAAAAATCTACATTTGTGTTAATCTAAACTACTTAGATATGCTGGCAACTGTCGAGAAGCAGGTTGATTGGCTCGGGCTGGGGGTATAACATGCCACTCACTTACACTGTGAGGCAGGTTTGGGCAGGCTGTGGTTGTAATTTTAGGTGAAGAGGAAGATGATTCCCTCCTCTGGGCCAGCTGGTACACTTGTCCAGAGTACCCTCACCAACAGAGTGATTCACCAAGATAAAATGTAGCTTAGTTGAACTTACGATACGATATACTTTATTGTCCCCGTAAGGAAATTTGTTCTGGACTCCGTCCTGCAGTTCCGCATACATGTACATATACAAACATAGTGGACATTAAGAGACATACAGATATCATCAGTCATACACCGTTTGAACAAACACAATACACAGACGCACATACTGACAATGGCGACCTATTGCATAACCCTCATGGCCAACATTTAAAAAGTACTACTTTTTAAATGTTGGCCATGAGGGTTATGCAATAGGTCGCCATTGTCAGTATGTGCGTCTGTGTATTGTGTTTGTTCAAACGGTGTATGACTGATGANCTCATTCCTACCTATGTTGATTAAGCTTCTGAGCATTCACATGAAATGAAATGTAGTCAAATGTACTTTTTAAATGTTGGCCATGAGGGTAGTGCAATAGCTCGCCATTGTCAGTATGTGCGTCTGTGTATTGTGTTTGTTCAAACGGCGTATGACTGATGATATGTGTATGTATTTTAATTTCCACTATGTTTTTATATATACATGTAAGTAGTAATCTTCATCCCGCTTCCATCGCATTAGTATGCATAAAAAAGTTACAGGTCACACCTCCTGGTGTAGGTGTGAGATCCGTTGATAGGAGGGGGGTGATGTGTATTCACAGGTGTGAAAAGCCCCCACTGTTGCGCCTTATGGTGTTTAAATAAAAAAATAAAATAAATAAATAAAAAATAAATGCTGTTTCAATCACATTAGTATGCATAAAAACTGAAAGGTGGGCCCGCCCCCAAGTGTGTGTGTGTGTGTGTNTTTGCCTGTCTGATAATGGACTGCTCGTATATGTTTTGGAGAGATGGGTGTTTTTTTAACCCCAATGATTTTGATAGCAGTCTGTACCAGGCGAGCGATCTGTGACTTTGACTGCACTGTCAAGTTACCATACCAGGCAGTAATACCATACCTAATGATGCTCTCCAACACTGCATGATAGAACAGTAACATGAACTTCCGGTCGACTTCGAAAGTCCGGAGTCGACGCAGAAAGTACAATCGCTGTTGAAGTCTAAGAGCACAGACCTTGAAAATGCGCCTTCCAGCTGAGTGTATTATCTAGATGGACACCAAGGTACTTATAGGAGCTGACCTGAGTTATGGGTTCATTGTGGATAAACCGGCCTAAGGTCACCCACTGCCTTTGGGTCCCACACCATCTCCTCAGTCTTCTTCACATTCAGCACTAGATGGTTAAAATCACACCACTTCACAAATCTCTCTATTTCAGAGTGATGAGCCGATGAACTGCTGCCTTTGTGCATTAAGCCAAGGATGGCTGTATCATCTGAGAATTTGATGATATAATTCTCCGGGTGGATTCTCGTACAGTCGTTTGTGTACAATGTGAAGAGGACCGGGGAGCTCATACAACCCTGGGGGGCTCCTGCACTGATGGTCCGGGGCTCTGAGAGGGCATTGTTGACCCTGACGTGCTGATTGGTTAAAAACGAAAAATACCATTTCAAGATAAAAGGATTTAAACTGATCTTTATCAGTTTTTCAAGCGAGATGTGAGGCTGCAGTGTATTAAAAGCCGAGCTGAAATCCACAAACAGTAGGCGTACATATGCCTTAGGCTTAGGGTCTTCCAGGTGTTTAGTGACCAGGTGTGTGATGCTATTTAGAGCATCGTCTGTGCCACGCCCTTGCTTGTAGGCAAACTGAAAAGGGTCTAAATGTCCAACCTCTTTCTTTAGCAGCGGCACCATGATCCTCTCAAAACATTTCATGACAATGGATGTCAATGCAACACGCCTAAAATCATTGTTTACCTTTGGACAAGGTTTTTTGGGGACAGGTGTTATTATTGATTCTTTCCAGAGGGTGGGGATGGTGTGAAGATCTACAGATTTTTGAAATAGGGGACACCATGCTGATGTCAGTTATTCTGCTAATGTGTTGAGAAGGAATGCAGAGATGCCATCTGGCCCTGTGGCCTTCTTAGTACAGGTGTGTTTGAAAAGTGATTGGACCTTTAAAGGGTCAATCACCACCCTTTCATCCTGAACTTCACTTCATATTAAATGATATCAGCAATATTTCTGTAAAATTACCCTATTTCTTTCAAGTTTCTCGCCAAAAATGACATTTTACAAGATCACATTTAAACAGCATTATCATTTCAACGTAATAGTTTACCTTTGCCAAATACTCTACTACTATCATGATGTTATTTAATACAACCTCCAGACTGCTATATTCAATATTGCAGTTTATTTTGTTTCATGATTTTCCTTTAGTTTCTATTAAGAGTTGTTATATTGCATATACTGTTTGTGATGTGACTCTTTTTATAATAAGCATCAACAATAAAACTACAGATGTTTCACCTTGGAGTGGCCAGAAGTGCTCGGCTCACATTGATAATATATTGAATTACATTTATAGCCGAGATCATTCAAATTGAAAGCATGATCATGTAATGAAACCAATCAGATAACAAAAGTCTGATAACATTACAATTTCCGTTGCTTATTTGTCTCCCTTTGTTGGCCCATCTGTTGCTGCATTCTTTCTCCGCTCTCTGTTCATTTCTGTCCGCTCTTCCTCATCCATTCCTCTGTCTTTCTGCCCACCTTTGTATTTCCCTGTCAGGCTTTTCTGCTTGTCATTCTGTTCCCTGTCTCCAGACGAGTTAATGAGAAGGGCTCACCTGAGGGACCAGCGTTGTGTTGAAGCTCACCCGTCTCATTAACATCTCATTATCACCCCCTGTCTTCTGTCTTTATACGTCTCCTAGCCCCTCGTCACATCATCTTCTCATTACATCAAAATCCAAAATAATTTAAAGACATTTTTGCCAATAGCATTGCAACGTTATTTTTCATAAGGGGAAATTAAAATGGAGATGAAAAACTAGGGCGTAGATCACATTATATTAATAATTACACCAATGTTCACTTGTGGTTTCCTTATTACTGTTTTCTGTGTTTGATGATCTGACGGCATCATTTGGAATCATAATGAGCAACCAACATGAATACATGAAACAAACAAAATATGATCTCTCTTGTTTTTATAGATTTGACATTTTCTTGAAAAACATTCTAAAGTAATTTGGGTTGTGCCCCGAGATAAAAAGTCAGATCAGTATCAACATCCTCCTATTCAAAAAATTAAAGATAGGATAAAAGACATGTGGAGTGGCACCCAAATAAAAATCTGTTGCCATTTTAACATGTGAAATGCAGGAATTGAGTATTGGCCAATGTATCAAACTGTGCTTACAGAAAATAAAACATGTACAAAAAGGCGAAGTGCAACGAAATACCTCAAACTGCACTTTTTAAACCACTGGCGCACGTACGCAAGCTGTCAGTGTGCACAGATAAGTGAGCTGCTGGTGATGCACGTTGGCTGCTTGTGTGGGGACTGCTAAAGGCTTATCAAGACCTCCCTAACAGCCTCACATTTATCTTAAAACATCTTACCTTCTAAGACAGCCCATCAATGTCTCATAAGAGCATTTGGACAAACACAGACACACACATACACAAGCCCTTGGGACAAAAGATGAGAGATATATCCATTTAGTTTACAAAATCATTTATCTTTCTATCCTTATGCTGTACCAATTATAGTTTACTTGTGTTTAAATCAAGATGAGCAGTCACCGAGAATGTCCACTGGAGTACAAGCTTTTAATTCAATTTTAATTTAATGTGCTTTGTCTGCACAGTGAGCGACCTCAATGATAATATATTTAACGTATGATACATTTAGGTTTTCCTATACTTACATTTGAAGGTGATGGTTTTAATTTACGATTTGATTTAATATGTTTAGTGTTACATACTGTGTGGCTGAATAATAGGAACTGTCGTTTTTCTGCTAAACACAGTTTTATTAGTTCATCATACAACTCCCTCCCTCAGTGTCACACGCTGGGCTCTTTCCCCCTCAGTTCACTGCTCTGTAACCATTCACACTCTGCTTCACACTGCTCTGTCCCCATTTTCAATCTTGCTTCTTCTCCTTTATCTCAGCCTCCAAGGCACAAACCAAATACCCTGAATTGTGATTGGATTTTCACATCAACTGCATGTGTGTGACGGGTGTTCTTGATGTGTGTCCTCTGATGCTATGGTGTCATGATTGATGAAGAACACATTCTTGTTCATCCCATACCCTTAAGCGTGCCTCTCCCTGAATGTTAACAGACACAAGTTTATTCTTGATTTTTCCCGCTTATCATCCAAAAGGTCAAACACCAAATGCCACCTTCTCCTTCATGTTCCCTACGGGCCAATAGATGCTTGCTATCTTTGCTTGATACCAGGATTTTACTTTTTAATTTGCAGATAGCGACAAGCCTTTTTAACAACCTTATCTAACATGCTGTTCAGACTTTTTTACATATGATAAATCCAAGCCTGAATGGCTAGATCTTAAAATGTATAACTTGCATCACAGGTATTAGAGTTAAGAACGCACTGTGACTTCACAAATTGGATTAAACCATTTAAAATTCAAGACGGACACTCTCCAAGTCATACCGGAACTACCTACCCATAGGTTCAAACACTGGAAGAATGCAAATCATGTTCATGTTCAGTAGGCACACCCAACTACAGGACATACTTTACATACATATTTGTATCACACCTGCTTTCACACTTGCTCTAACAAAGGCAGGTGTAAAATTGTAATTTCCCACTGTGCAACATATTGCTGAATTGATGATTTTAATGGGAAGACCTTGTGTAAATGAAGGTATGAAAGCAGGCAATATTAACATATTGTATTGTGATTGAACACAGAACAAACACAGCTGTGAATGCACAATGAGAATCACTCCCTAGGGACTAAAAGCCTGCCAGAAGCACTGGTCCGCTGACTGCTTACCTCCTCGGCCAAATGTTCAAACAGAACAAGCCAGAAGGGAAAGGGGCGACGGTGTAAGAAAGGAGGGTGAGACATGGGAAGACGGAGAGACAAAGGGTTGAAAACTGGAAGGAAAGGAGAAGATAGGATGAAAAGGCTGGACAGAAATGTTAGCGATGTGAGCAGAGTTTTATCCGAATACTAGGCTTCCGTAAGTAAGAGTCAAATTGCATTTTGGTGTTTGATTATGGTAATTGGCACCGTGAGCCATTTCCAACACTCGGAAGAGGAAGTAAAGAGAGGCCTTTAATATATTATTTTGTATCTGCTTTCTAAGAGTTATTATCCTGTGTGCACAAGGGTGTTGAAGTGCCTTTCTGGATTTGTTCGTAATTCTCAAAAATTCACATCTTCTTCATGACTTATGCAATGTGTGGCTTTTGTATTAGTTTCAACCCATCAGGAATGTCAGCAAAGGTTTAAAATAAGATACAAATGTGATATTTTTCCATTCAACTAATGAAAAAACCTTGAGAATACGTGTTCCAGTTAAGTACAGGCCTTGCAGGCAGACATCAAAATCAAAGAGTAAAGCCACATACTCATAACACGAACGCATTCGCTTCAGAATATAGACTTAACATAGTTGGGATATTCAACAATTTGTCAATGTTTTTGGCTTCATACGTTTAAAGAGACGCAACTGGACTACACCAGTAGCCAATGTATTACTCTGCTGGACCTACATGTATAGAGTTCCTTTGTTGCTTCCCCAGGAAAACAAGTATCTATGTATTGAATTGGATTCTGCCTCCTGTGTCCACACTGTGTTTCTTCTCCTTCTGTGTTTTCTGTCTCAAACCCAACTATTATTTTTGCTTTTTTCGATTTCTGGCGCTCATCACGCAATATTTGGGATCTTACTTAAGTTTCATCCATTAACAATGTTTTATTTTTATGAGCAGTGCAGAAATCAAGTTTGGTGGGAATGTTCTTAATGATAATTTAAAGTGAGCATAACAAAAGCAAAATGTCTCCCTTTATTCAGCTCTTTTGTGGGGTTTAGGTCTCTTCTGTTGAACCAGTGGCGTTTCTGGTGATGTTTGTATTTGGGAATGTAACATAGATGTAATTATTCTCCAAAGTCAGATTACTGTGAGGATGACGATTTTTGATCTGTTTTTAATAATTTGTCTGACGACTAAGATAAAGCAGGTCAAGTGTACCCTCTTCATAGGAAAACATCAATTATAAAGGTACAAAATACACTGACTATATTTGCAAAGTGAAGCTTATTTATTTAAGATGAAAAGTCATGAACAAAATAACAGTATCAACCTTTCAACCTTTCACACTCAAAACATATCATAATTTCTAATGAATGAATAAATGTCTATGAAGTTGACATTTCTCAAGCCATTAAGAAAGAAGCACGTACAGGTGAGGAGGCATACACAGCACAGCTGGCAAGAAACTTTAAAGATTTAAAAAGGACATGACAGCATGACACACAACGTTTCGTTAAAAGTTTAATTAAAGCTTCATGTTAGAACATCTGAGGTGCAAGGAACATGTCAAAAATAATGTAGGATATCAAAAGCAAACGAGGACAGTTAAAAAAGACAAAACAGAAGAGGCAGTTGAACGCTCACTCATATTAGTATAAAGTTTTCCTCCCATGTTCAAAATATTCTGCAAAACACATTGTTTGAATAATTAACTCAAAGTCAAACTCAAGTCAAGTTTCTCATTCCCTCTGTGCTTTCTTCCTGACAGAACGACTACCGTAAGTTGTCGATGCAGTGTAAGGACTTTGTGGTGGGTGTGTTGGATCTTTGTCGGAACACAGAGGAGGTGGAAGCCATACTGAACGGCGACGTGGACGTGTGCCCCCCCAGCGCCTACAACCGACCATGCCTCAGCCGCGTCATACTGGCCATCAAGTACGAAGTCAAGAAGGTAAGATGACACAAAAACAACCGATGAATCAACTATCTACTGCATGTAAAGTCCAGTGGTAGTTTTGTTTTCGTTTTTCATTTTTCTTCAGATACTATTAAACAAGACAACATTTATAAAAAAATTCAAGAATCTATTCCTCTAGGACGATTAACAACCCACTGTTAGCATCAACTGCGTTAGTCTGACATTAGCAATTTGACAGTTAAAAGGAGTCATTGCTTCTAAACCTAGCACTGGGCTTGATGTAAGATAGGGCCCTTGGTCTCAAAAGAAGTCAAGCACCAAACACTTGATCCTTTTTTCCCATAATGCAGCTTGATAATGCATCTTGAGGAACTCTGAGTGCCTGATAAATGCCCTTTCAAACTCCATGCTCCAAGATTGTGACCTACTGTAGGCCGCCTGTTATAAATGTATATATATATATATATATATATATATATATATCTTTAAGCTCAGGCAAGCTAAGATAACCCTGATGAAATCAATATGATATCATCATGGGTTATTCTTTCAGACGTTTGCAAGCTCTTCTAAAGCCACAGGATATTATACGACTTTTTTCAAAAGCTGAGTAGTACTCCCCACGGCAAGTCGTGACAGTGTTTTAAAAATAACCTTTACTTTTCTTGTGTGTCTGTGTTTTTGCATGTACAGTATGGTTTTGTTTTTGCGTGCATGTGGCCTCAGACGGCCCCAAAACAACAAACTGGCCCCTATTTCAAAGAGCTTATCCCTGCTGAGCAGAGGTGTGCTTACTAAATGTCAAACAGAATGTCGTTTCCCCATTTCTCTCCCCTCACACACACAAACACACACAAACACACACGCACGCACGCACGCACGCACGTACGCACGCACGCACGCACGCACACACACACACACACACACACACACACACACACACACACACACACACACACACACACACACACACACACACACACACACACACACACACACACACACACACATGCCTGTTTCACCTTCATGTACTGCATGTTTTCTCTAATCAGTTAGATCCCTAGTGTTTGTGTGCATGGTGGAGTGTGTTTGCGTGTGAGTTGGAGCTGTGTGTTTATCCTGTACAAGAGAGCGTGACCATTACTCAGGCGGCTAATTACACAGGAGGCCGGGAGGGATGGATTGCCATGGCAACCAGGTGAAGCCTGGCTGTGTAGTGCATGTGACCGGACGCAGGCAGGGTTAATTGAAGGGGTCATGAATTGATAGACTGGTCACCGGGCCCCAGTGGGAAACTATCTTAAATACAATTTAGTGTGCATGGGGGAGTTTTATGGCTGTGTGTGGTTTCCCTCTGAATGTAGAAATGATTGAGTGCACACACACAAATTAGACTTGTGCGTGTTTCGATCGCCGTACCGGAGCAGATAGTTGTCATACGTCATCTCAGATAAAAGCTCCCTGAACATGATGGCCAGGGCTGATTGGTGAAGGGGTGAGAAGGATTGATGGTGGGAGAAAACAAAGAGGCTAGTGTAAATCAAGGTAGAGCAGATTTGATCCGATTTAATCTGTTGCTCACATCTTACACAAAAAAACGATACACAAACACTGTTTGATTGCTCGACTAGTTGACCTCCTACTGAGCATCGATTGCCCTGTTGTCCACATCCTTCCTGCAGCTGGAAGAAAAACATCCATCCTTTCCTTCCCCAAGAGATCAGTTTTCATTTATCACTTCCTTTCTTGGAGTTATGTCAGCAACAAAACAGACCAACCCTTATTTATTGAAGTGAATACTCTTGAGTAATGAATGTAAACACTTTCTGCTTCTTATTTGCTGCCTTTTTTCTTTTTGCATACTGTATTTTAAATTGATTTCACAACCTGCTTGTTGACCTTTTCTCATTCTGAATGAAGCCAAGTGGCACCTGTGAATACAAAAGTGTTTGGAATAATATATTTATTCCAATGGAAACACAATATACAGTATACGCTCTAAATTGAAAAGCATTTTGCACACTCTGCCAATTAGGCTGATCTTGACCACCACAAGTTTTATTTAGGCACACATTGCATTGATGATATTGAAAAGCACAAGAAAGCAGGTTTACCAATGGTACTTTAAGTTTAATACTGTACAGAAATAGAATAAATAAAACCAATCTTCTGCTTTTTGGAATTAACAGAATGCTGGAGTGGGACAATATAAGTGAAAATATTGTCCAAAAGATGTACATGGACCATAACACGTGGAAGAAAAACACAGGCATACCATAACACCTACTTCAACATCGGTTACATTTTATTTGAAAGACAATTCAATTCTAGTCTATGGTATATCAGGGAAAGAAAAACTGGATTTACAGATGTTAAAAACCAACAAATTACGGCACCACCATGTACGTTCCACTATGAAACAATCACTTGTGTAATTTCTTGTTGTGTCATGGGTATAACACTGTAGTGGAAGAAGTATTGCTATTGTTTTCAATACTTAATAAAAGAACAACACCCCAATGTAATAAGTCTTTATTAAATAGAAAGTCATATATTAACCTCTAGCTATCTGCAGAGATATCTCTTGCTAAATATTGAACCCCCATACTGCAGTCAGTCTGTCATATAAGCCATATCCTGGTTACGCTGCTAGACTATTTCAGCGTATCTGTTGCACATGCACAATGTGCTGCTGCTGTAAACAGAACCCTCAATAGATCAGTTAAACAAAACCTTCCTGAAGAAGGAAAGCTAATTTGTATGGCTTCCTGCTAATTGCTCTCCTCTTCCCCCTTCTTACTTTCTCCTCTCTCACATTGCCTCCCCTCTGTCCCCATCTCCTCTTTGCTTTCGACATTGATGTGTACTTATTGTCCGTCTCTCCTTCCAGTTTGTGGCCCATCCCAACTGCCAACAGCAGCTGCTGACTATCTGGTACGAGAACCTGCCCGATCTGAGGCAGCAGTCTGTGTGTGTGAAGACCTGGACGGTGCTGGGGGTCGCTGCAGGTCTGCCCTTTCTGGCTGTTGCCTACTGGATAATGCCATGCAGCAAGGTATGAACACACATACACTCACAAACAAGCAAACGACACAAAGTCCCCCCTGTCCCCTGATCTCCAGCTCTTTGTCCTACCAGCGCAACTACTAGCAAAAATCGATTTCAGCCTATTGAAATTGACTCAAGCTACTTCTGTGGCTTGCTCTCTCCTTAGAGAATGTGTTGTTTTGGATTCACCTAAGTCACAATAGTTTAAATAAATAAATAATATAAAACTGCACAAACAGTTCTCCACAAACTGTCGCTGCATACTTTATTCACTCTTCTTTACTGTGAATATGTCAAAAAGACTGTTCACTAAAGTTATCGGGATTATTTATCTGTGGAGCATGAGAATAGACATAATAAATGGCAATCCAATGACTATCGGGGCAAAATACATTACTGTTATATGATTTTTAAAGGAACTGTTAAATCACTATTTGATTTTAGGACCATAAGACCCTCTATTACATGTTGTTAATACCCCATCAAGAATATTATAATCTGTAAAGTGACACACAGGCAGGCGCTCAGCAAGCTGTTATGCAAATCTGCTCATTAACCTGGATAATCCTTTACCTCATCATCAAGTGCTGTGTGTGTGTGTGTGTGTGTGTGTGTGTGTGTGTGTGTGTGTGTGTGTGTGTGTGTGTGTGTGTGTGTGTGTGTGTGTGTGTGTGTGTGTGTGTGTGTGTTGAAGGTAGATTCAGGAGTAGTATTGAGGACTTTAGAGTGGTTCCTCTCTAGTGTGACTGATGAATTAGTCATTTTGTGGACTAAGAGAGTGAGAGCAGCTGGTGTCGAGTGTAAGAGACGATGGAGAGCAACACAAACTGCTTCTGATCACGAATACACCTGTGTATGTTAATTTGTGTACATGTGAGTATGGGTATATTTAATTATGAAGTGTAGTTCAGGAGGTAGAGTGGTTGTCTACCAAGCAGAAGGTCTACGGTTCGATCCCCAGGCCCTGCAGTCAACATGACAATATACTTAACCCAGTGATGGCTGCCGATGGCCAGCAGTATGTGAATGTATGTGAATGTGAGTTCCCCTGGCGGCACTTTGTATGGCACCTTTTAAGTGTGTGCATTCATGTGTGAATAAATAGGCGAATGCTGTCACAGCCCTATGAGTATTCGCAAAGAGTGGAAAAGCGCTAAATGAATGCAGTCCAATTCATTTACAAACAAACCGATGAGACAGTCTGTCACAGTCTGCTATTATGTGACGCAGCAGGAAAAAGGTTTGAATCAATATTTAGGCATGTTTATTAATAATGTGATAAACAACATAGACCAAAATAAATATTTAAAGGAACTGATAATGAAATAGATACATACTTAATTGCAGTTTGCAGAGAAGAAGTGGATGTGTTTTAGTTGAGTGTGTGTAGCTTGCCCTCCTAACCCAGACACTAGTTTGTCTCTGTTCATCTCATCAATTGCTCATCTCCCACAGCTCATGATGTTTTCCATTTTAAGGTCTCCACAACAAAGTATTTTCAGAACCCCAAACATAATAGCATTTCATTTCAGTGGGTATAGATGAATAAGATATTCATATTTGTGTTGCACAAAAAAAGGCTAGTAAATCATTGAAGGCAGACAGAAAAAGCTGATTAATTGCCTTAGAAAAAAAATTAGATATCAGAAAACATGCCGAGATTAATGGGAAAGAAACACACCTGCACACACGGCACCTGAGAGAGAGAACAATTATGAAACATTCTTCAAATATTCTTGAAAAATGACCTTCTGTCAGGATGCTCTCTTTAGAGCTTTAGAGCTTGATGCTTTTGTGAAGGAATAACTCTTTCAAAATGTGATTAAAATGATACAGGGAAGCTTACACGTTCCCTTGAACGGTCACCACTTGTAGCATTTCATTATTGAATGAACTATTGCCGACTCATTAGTGATTCAGTCAGTGATGGAGGTTAGCTCAAGAACTGTACATAAGTGCACTTTTGAGTTACTTGTACTTTATATATCGTTTTTATTATTTCCATGTTATGATACTTTATACTTCTACTTTACTAAATATCAAAGCTTAACAATATACTATGATTGATACGATACAGCTGTAATTACTAGTTACTTTGCATGATGAGTGCTCTAGACACGCACACAGGTGTTTTTAATTGCTGCGGCTGATTCGCCCTCTATCAGTTGGTGAAGCTGTGAGTGAAGTATGTGGTTTATTTATTCAATATTTTTTACTTTCTTGTTTATTTCTAGTCTTTTATTTTTTATTGTACAATCCCATGTATTTTGATGCTGCTGCAACACAAACATTTCCCAAATTGGGATCAATAAAGTACTTCTTATCTTATCTTAATCAAACTGAGCACCAATGATGAGAGTTCAACAAAATCCATAGAGATCTGACGGCGATGTCAAACACAGCACTGATTAGGCATCAGTGGTTATGATACCCACAGAATAACATATTATTATTGATTAACCATCCAACAGTATATTTGATAGTGTGCATTTGGTCCATCATCTCCACTTACAAAATGATTATGCTGCTTAAATTAAATCAGTCCTATCTAACCTATACAATTTAAAGATACGACATTTAAAGGGGTCCACTCTGCATAATGAGTGCTTTTACTTTAAATAGTCGAAGATCATGTTTTTGTTAATAGTTATGTACCTTACTAAAACGACTTTTACTTCTAACTGAGTATTTTTATAATTTGGTATCACTACCTTTTCTTAATTAAAAACATCTAAATACATTCAATGCCATCTTGTTAATTATTTTCTAGTTGTTAATTAAGACAATGTCCTTAAGGGATAGACTAATGGAGAGAAAGGGAAACTCTTCACTTATGTTTAACATACCAGCTCTACTATTGTGCTTCTATTATTCCAGTGTTGGGCTACTGATAATAAGTAACAACGTGAGGTTGAGAAAATCAGCCTTCATATTCACCTCCACCAAGAAGGGAATGTTTTTGCCATGTTTAGTCTATCCTATGTCTGTTCGTCTAAGTTACAGATTTAGAGTTAGACATTACATTTACTTGTGAATCAAGTGTTCTAAATAAAAACATACTACATTCTCAATACAGAAGTTATGGGTTATGGGTTATGTGGTTGAACATTTTAGGACACACCAATTCTTTATTTATGGTAACCACACTAGCTATCACAGTCAATTAGACAATGACACATTGCTGAATTTGATTTAATAATAGTCAATTAGAACATTTCTAAATGCCACATGCTGTTCTCACACTGATCCATCAAATCATTGTTTCTATTTCATTCCTGTTCTGCAGTCTGTCATCTATTTAATTTGCACAAGGAAAATAAATAAAAATAGATGGAAAGGAACGGAAAAATGCATAACAAAAAGGGATAATGCATAATATGCTTACTAAGACAACATTTCACTTGAATGTCTCACATGATGAAATGATTGAGTGATGACGATGTAATATACAAAAGAAGATCAGCTTCACTGAGACATGAACAATTTTCGAACACCATCACTCAAAAGAAGAGATTATGACAATATGTCACATTTTGTAGAATACTGAACTAATGACTGAAACCCACCTTGAAACTGGGTGATTATACAGATGGTATGTGCTGGTGTATTGTAGCTTATTTTCAGTGACATAGCATTGTCTTATTTGACTTGGCCAAAAAAGTTAACACATACAAGCTTGTTAAGTTTCAATAAATTGTTAGAATCGGCTTCATAATCTGTCGAGCAAATTACATCATCTATCCTCAGCCCCTGAAGGAACAACTCCCAGTCTTTAAGCCTGTCCTTCATCCTTCTCTCTGCTTAGAGCTGCCACAATTTATTGTAGAGAGGGTGAGAAAGGTTATCTAAGATGGCACTGACTGTCGTCCATCTCTCTGCCACTCCCTCCAAACCATCAACACTGCCGACTTTGCTGAACAGCTTTCTGAGACTGCTGACGTACAAGCCTTGTTGCCACCATTGCAGACAAAAGAGCAATGGCTGCTACACACTGCTGCAGATCTGTAAAAATAAAAATCTGTTATTGAAGATGGCTATGGGCTATGGCTCAGGGCCAGTGGTGCTTGTAGGCAAGATACCTAACCCCAAACAGCTCCTGTAAGCATGTCTAAAGTTTTGAAGTGTATCCAAGTAGATTTAAATAAAAGGGTCAGCTGAATACCATGTATTGTTATGTAAAGACAGCATTTTTCACCATGGGAATGTTGTCTATAATCACATACATTTCAATATAGGATTGCAAGTAAAACATATATTGGTTAATGGGATAGTGTATCAGTTTTTTGATTCACAGTCAATAACAATGAGAACAAAAACATGTATGAAAATGTCCCTAATTATCTATTCCTATCAATTACAAATAATACAAACATTATAACAGAAGGTCTTTGTTCTAGATCATAAATGATTAAGGGCCGATATCTATCTGCACACAGTATATGTCAGGCTTGCTTCTCCCAGCTGGAAAGATGTTAGGGAAAAGTAAAAGGCACAGCAGCTCCATTTCTCACCTTACTTCTTTATTAACTCTGGCTGTGCTTGCTGCCAGTGGCCACAGTTTTGTTGGAAGAGTGAAGCTCAGCTATTGTCACCATCACACGGATACAACAAAGTTCTCACAGCAGTGGGCCTAACCTAGGATGACCATCTCGTTTAGGCTGAGGCGTGAAATGGATCAGCCTTATCAGCACAGAGGCAGGAGGAGGTTCAGAGGAGGTTCTGCAGGGTTAAGATTCACCAGACGACTTCCTTTTCCCCACGGTGGAGGAGTGTGTGTGCCACGTGGACTGCTGTTACACTTCACGTGCCACTGTGCTTCCAGAGAGTAGTGGTATCCTGTGGGTAGTTAATATCCAACACAGCAGGTTTAGAGAGCGGCAAATGTTGGCATGTTAAATGTCTGTATGAGGTTGAAAGTGTGTATGTGGGGGGGGTGTTCTGGCCTACTTTTCTGTAATAATAAAAAGGTGCTGGCATGTTTCACGCTCCTTGTGCAGACCACCTTGCTTTACCTTCTCCCCATATGGTGCATTTTCACAAACTCTGCTGATTGTTTGGCTTCTCGTTACCCTGGCATTATTTTCACATTCATGAATCACAACAGCTGCTGTTAGCCTGCTAAGATTGTTTTGAAGTGATGTTGCTCAGGTTTTGATCTCTGAGGGCCAACACATTGGGAACTGTCCATGAATGCTGATGTACCTCTGTAAATAAAAACAGATGTTTTGTTTGGCTGCAATTTTACTCTTGTGTATAGTCACTTTTTTAACTGTTCAAAGAAAAATCAACTCAAAGATGTATCAACAACCTGATTCCCTGACACAAAAACAAGTTGGTGTATTGGCAAACACAAATAAACACAACCATATAAATATTAATAATCATAATAATGTCTAAAGTTAATGTGTTTTGTCATTGTACTCCACTACAGTTATTAGGACGACATGTTCACCGAATGATAATATTCCAATACAGTTTTTACAGCTTATTGTGCAGCCCCGAATGTTCACAAATATATAAATGACTGTTGAAACAAACAATACTAATCTCTTGAACCATCTTTTATCGCTTGTTCCTTAGTGAGTATTTGGCAGCCACACGTACACGATGAAACATGCATGTTATTATTGTATGTCCTCCATCTTCTCCCTCCCAGATTGGTCAGATCCTGCGAAGCCCCTTTATGAAGTTTGTGGCCCACGCCGTCTCCTTCACCATCTTCCTGGGTCTGCTGGTTTTAAACGCCTCCGACCGCTTTGAGGGTGTCAAGAACCTGCCCAACGAGACCATCACAGACCACCCACGCCAGGTGTTCAGGGTCAAGACCACCCAGTTCTCCTGGACAGAGATGTTGATCATGAAGTGGGTTTTGGGTGAGTTGTCTTATCACACTCTGGCAGTGTTTGAAGTTATTCACAGATGCAGCCTATTCAAATGCATAAGGATTTAACATAGTCAAGGCAGATTTTCCCTCATGATAAGAAATAACCTTGATACAGTTGTGTCAAAGCTTTACGTTTCCTATTGGAGTTTCTTTATACATTTACTTTATCAAGATGCAAGTTTATATTGATCTTATCACCAAGGTGATCCAAAGGAGAAGCTACAACGCCTATAAATCATTGGAAAGGGTCTGTGAACCTTTTTTGCACAACTTTGATATCAGGCAGAATTACAGATTAATGCAGCACCCAAGTGAATGAAAGCCAAAGTCAGGGCTAAAAATAATTATTTATTTATTATTCATTCCTTTTTATCTTCCAAAGATCAAACAGTGATGTCCTAGTTGGGTGCAGCACAGTTCAGATGTGTAAAAGCAGTGTCCATACTAAGTCCTTCAATAGGCACGGATGACATTTGGAAGTGGCTGAGGGAATATAAGCTATAGCGTGAAAAAGACAGGAGCTCTTGAGGCAGACGGATGAAAGCAAAGGGAGGGGTGGAGTGTATGAAACAGATAGACAGCGGTGACAGAAAGACAAAGACAAACTCAACAGATAAATAGCCCATGGCAATATCTGTCAGACCTCAGCTGCCTCCCATCTGCTAATGTTCTTCCTTTCATCCACATAAACACACACACACACACACACACACACACACACACACACACACGCATATAATATCATTATGTGAGTTGTCTGTGTATGTTGGAGCGAATATGGTTCTGTTTGTATTTGTTTACGTGTAATGGCATCATTTTCTGTCTGTCCATGGCATTTCTTGGCAGCAGGTGCTCGCGTGTGTGTAATTTCTGTCTGTGCGTATGTTTGTGTGTGCGCAGTGAATGGTGGCTTAAGTAGAACTGGGTAATTGTAATTCCAGCAGCACGCTTTGAAGGCCCAGTAATTGTTAAAGAGATGATACTGATCAGGGCGCCTTTTCAATAAGCAATTTTCTCCTTGTTTGAGCTCCAAATAGACAATGACAGAGTAGGAGGGATTTGAGTGTTGAGATGCACCTGAGCAGTTAAAAAGTAACAATATTACTTTTGTCGGTAACAGAGTAGTGAAACGCGCTCATACTTGCCAACCTTTAGACCTCAGAAATCGGGAGCATTTCAAAATGCAAAATTGGGGGGGGGGTGCTAGTGGGTTAATGTTAATCTAACAGCTCCGGCGATCCACTAGCACCCCCCCCCCAATTTTGCATTTTGAAATGCTCCCGATTTCTGAGGTCTAAAGGTTGGCAAGTATGAGCGCGTTTCACTACTCTGTTACCGANGTTATATGAATTAATAATAATAGATAATTGTTTATTAAAAAATAAACAATAGTTTTGCAAAATATTACAATTTTTTAATGTCCTTGACTTCCATGTGGCGTCTCATGGCTACTTTTTGTCAAAAACTTCAACCCTGTCACATTTTTTCAAGGAAATTCCTAGTAATTATC